GGAGTGGAGAGGTGACCCCCGCTGGGGCGCCTCCCGCCCACCCCCCCAGGTGACATTTGCAGAGCAGGAAGCCCCGTTACTCAGGAATGTCCATTCCTTCTGTCGATCCGTGTTCCCTGGACCCTTGATCCCGCAGGACATGACAACGTGCTGGATGGGCAAGGTCCAGCAGGTGGGAGAATTCCTGAGATACCGTCTGGTTTCTCCGGCCCCTGGCGCTTACGCGCTCCTATGGCCCCAGCCAGCGGCCACATCCTCCCTGAGGACAGCATCTGGCCCACTCCTCTCTCCCTCTCTACAACCCGCCGTGGCTCACAGGGCTCAGATGGCGACTTGTCCACTCAGGCGGGCATGCACTCACACGTGCATTAATTCACTCCTTACCCACCCCTGCGTGCACTCACACGTGCATTCATTCCATTCGTCCACTCCTGCAGGCATTCACACATTCATTAATTCACTTGCTCGTGCATGCATTCATTCATAAATGTATTCCCTCGTTTATCTACTCAATTCATTCATTCACTCATAATTCTCTCACCCCCTGACGCACGTATTCAGCAGCCGAGGTGCCCATCACTCCATCACTCACTCATTTATTTTCGGTTACTCTCTCCTGCGTCCACGCACCGTGCACGCTTGCATGCCCCTTTCCTTCGCTCACTGAGCGTTCGTTCAGTAAGATCACGTTTCCAGCGTGGCCTCTGCCCGGGCAGCGCGCCGGCCTTGGGCCCGGCCCGGGAGGCCACTGCAAACGTTTACTTTGGGGCTGGCCGGTTAAAGGTGAGATGTCTGAGCGGAGACGCCGCAGACTCCTGGATTGGGCGGGGAGGGGTCGGGGGGCCGGGGCGGGGCGAGGATGCCCGGCGGCCGCTGCCCTCTCCCGGCTCTCCTTCCGGGGCGCCAGGGGCCGGGCACGGGGCGGCGCCGGCCTGGTGCGGGGCTGCGGCGGTCGCGTGGACCAGCGCCCGGGGCAGCAGAGCGGGGGCGGGGCCGGGCTTCCGGAGAGCAGCCCAGCCGGCCGGGCCGAGGCGCTGGGG